ACTATAGGGCATTCGAAAAATCGTGACGATGGCGCGACCGTGCGCGACATGCATGCACTTCAAGCGACTGCATTTTCTTAATTTTTATCTCTATTTGTTTTTCTGCTTAGGTATGATAGCAGACACTGGACAACTTAGCTGAGTGTTGACGCAATCATGTATGAAATTTTATGTTCCTGTAGACGCAAAGACCGCAGTCAAATCCATCGTAACGATTTAAAAAAAGGCCCTTTACATACATGTGAACTGGATTCAGTCGATATCATGTTGGAAAATGATCTCGACTGCGTACCTTACTCTTGAAGAAAGATTCCCGAAAAGTGACTTTATGCTCGTGTTGTACTCCATGCCTCATTCGATATGGTTGTGCTTCTTGGGATGTTTGCTGAGCAAGTATAAATATAAAATGAGCAAGTGGTCAAACTCACTACATTCATCAATGACTTGGAGAAGTGATGGTAACGTAGAAAACAAGCAAAGAAAATGAAAACATGAGACGTCACTCACTTTTTTGCTAGAATTCAAGGTCACTTCCCATGGAAAAGGATCCGCTAGAATGCTACGCCTTTGCCGAAATCTTGGGAATGGATCCTTTCTCCAGTAGACGTGATCTCCTTCGTATAGGAATTGATTCGCATCAAAATGGACATTGCAAATGTATGGATCTTTGCAACCATCCAGATAATCGGGATCCATATGGAAGAAAGCAAGCCTATAATATGCATAATTAACGTGCATATCTACGATATTCTAACGGATCGGACCAGGATCCGATGCGAATGTGATCGGCCTGTCAAGATGCACCCAATGAAAGTGAAAGTGAGTAATTCTTCTCTATTGCAAAAGATACCATATTGGTCATCCTAGTTCCCAAAGCGCTTTCTAAGTGGGTGGGTCTGCTGCACTAACATCAGCTGTCCGTGTCTAGCGAATCATATCCACAAAGAATTCTAGTAAGGATCCTAGTATAATCACTGAATAAATCACACCTAGGCTAACTTGCGATGCCCCTACACTAATCTATCAAAAATGACTGACCATAAAAAACCCTATTCGTTAGGAAAAACGACATACCATGACCTTCTCAGCTGTTGATCATCAGGCCATCTGAAAAGGCGGGTTTTTGGAGTGGGTGTCCGATTACATACGATGCAGTGCGGAGGTGCAGAAACAAACGATCCACTTGCTTCTGAAATAACATGCCACTCATTAGCAGTAGAGCGGTTTAGCAAGATGCATATTTGAAGTTCTGTGTTAGGAAAGAACAGAAAA